GCTTCAGTAGCATTCGTGGGCCTCGAACCAACGAGGCTAGTGAGAGCCCATTCAGAGAAGAAGCCAAGGAGTTTTTGCGACAGAAATTGATTGGAAAGCATGTAAAGATCAGCATTGATGGAAAGAAACCCGCGTCTGAGGGCTTCGAGGCCAAGGAGGTGGCTACAGTCACCGAGAAGGGCAAGAATATTGCCCTGATGTTGGTCGAGGCAGGGTGGGCATCGGTCATTCGCCACAGAAAGGACGATACCGACAGAGCCTCTAATTACGACGAGCTTCTGGCGGCTCAGGAGAAGGCCAAGGAAGAGCTGAAGGGTATGTGGTCTGGCAAGCCTCAGAAGGCAAAACAGTACACAGATCTATCAGAGAACGCTCAAAAGGCCAAGATTATGCTCGCCACGTTGCAAAGACAGAAGAAGGTTCCTGCGATTGTTGATTTTTGCAAGTCTGGTTCCCGATTCACGGTCCTGATTCCCCGGGAGAATGTGAAGCTTACGATGGTTCTTGGCGGCATCCGGGCTCCGCGGGCTCCACGCGCTGATGGAGAAGGCGGCGAGCCATTTGGCAAGGAGGCCCTGGACCTGGCAAACCGACGGTGCAACCAGCGAGACTGCGAGGTCGACATTCATGACATGGACAAGGTTGGTGGGTTCATTGGCGCTCTTTACATCAACCGCGAGAACTTTGCCAAGGTATTGGTAGAAGAAGGTCTAGCTTCTGTTCATGCATACTCTGCTGAGAAGTCTGGAAACTCGACGGAGCTGTTTGCCGCCGAGAAGAAGGCCAAAGAGGCTCGAAAGGGACTGTGGCACGACTACGACCCTTCACAAGAGGAGGCTGATGAGGAAGAGGAGGCTACCGAGGAGACTCCTGCTGAGTCAGAGGTATCACTAGACAAGAAGCCTACGGACTACCGTGATGTTATGATAACCAATATTGATGGAAACGGCAAGATCAAGATCCAGGAAATTGGCAAAGGAACCGCGGCTCTGGAGACGATGATGAATGAGTTCAGGAAGTTCCACCTCGACTCCAAGAACAAGAAGCCCTTGGGTGATGCCCCAAAGACTGGGGACTTTGTTTCTGCCAAATTCTCTGCCGACGGACAGTGGTACCGAGCTCGAGTCCGCTCCAACGACCGCACTGCCAAGGTGGCTGAAGTACAATATGTCGACTACGGAAACACCGAGAAGATTCCCTGGTCCGATCTTCGAGCCCTTGATCAAGGCCAGTTTGGTGTTCAGAAACTCAAGGCTCAGGCCATTGATGCCTCTTTATCTTTTGTCCAGCTGCCCACTGGTGCTGATTACTTTAATGAAGCTATCAGCGTCATTGCTGAGATGACGGAGGGCAAGCGACTGGTGGGCAGCTTCGACTTTGTGGACAGCAAGGAGAATGTGAGCTACGTTACGCTGTACGATCCCAAATCGAACAATGAATTGCCTGGCTTGAACGATTCGATCAATAAGGAGGTTGTTGCCAGCGGTTACGGCATGGTTCCCAAGAAACTGAAGGCTTGGGAGCGAAGCAAGGCATTTGAGTCGTACCTGAAGCACCTCAAAGAGGTTGAGAGCCAGGCCAAACAAGATCGTCTGGGCATGTGGGAGTATGGTGACATTACTGAGGATTAGATGGATGACGGGGCGGGTGGAACTGTCTACGGATGGCGTGCGCGGACGATGAATTGGGAAGGCATGATATAACGAATACAAAAGTCATCAGGCATAGAGGGGTATGTATTCCAAGATGTTAGTTAGCGTTCTTGAATCAAAAAATGAAGACGTTGTTATTTGTGGACGGCTATTGAGTTGCATTCGCCGGTCTGCAAGTGTATAAATGGTGAAATGACGGCGAGTACAAATATGATGTCCTTGTAGGAAGACTTTCTACGGTCATGGTGTACTTGGTAGGTAGAGGTACGTCGTTGGCAAAGGTCAACAAAGCACGCAGGTGCGTTTGATCAAAAATAGAAAATGAAATGAGAAATTATTCCACTCAAGTATCCAGTGTTTTAAGAGTTGACAGTAGCCCAAATGACATCGAGCCAAGTCCAGTTAATCTCCGGGTGTGAGGCTGCAGTAGAGAGTGAGAGGCTCGGCTGAGCCGTCATGTGCGCAAGGACAAAGTGTCATTACGTGCCAAGTAACTGCTGTTGACCATCAAGAGATGACATATGCCTACGGAGTACCTGAAGTAAGTACCTAGGTGATTGGTTTTGTGATTGGTAGTGCTCCGGCCGGTTGTCGACGATGCGACTCGGTCGTCGGTGGAGCCGAAAAAGGCGGGCCGGAGCACAGTAGTCCGGGCATGGAGACTACGGTGAAACTGGTGGGACATGGCTGGGACATGGACGGGGGCTGACAAAGAGATGACCTGATGGTTAAGCAGCACGTTTGTCACCAACTGCCTAGGAAACTAGAGAGCTGCTGCTGGCACTGTTGGCACTGTGGCCACTGTGGCCACTGTTGAGGGGGCCGCCGGAGTCCCCCAGCCGCCGGAGTCCCCAGCCGCCATTGCCGGATGGAGGGGTGCAAGCCGAACCAAGGGCCACGCTTTCAATTCGCAGAGAGCCAATCTCGTCCATCAATGACCCAATGCCATTCGTCCAGATGGTCTCAAGTGCTCCATACTGCCATCCAACCCAAGTTGGTGCCATGCTTTCAACGTTGGCTGTTGGCGGGTTGCAGGGTCCGAACGGCGGCGACGGATGGCCCAGCGTTATCCACCCATTATATCATCGTTGCTCCCGACTTTTCGCCATCCTCTTGCTACAAAAAGTCTCAGCGTCCCACTTTACATTTCGAACTCGTCTTTGAAACCTCCTCCTCGTCTCTTTTCCATTTTTTCTTAAGCAGTGAAAAAGAAAAACTACTTGCATTGCACACATCCCACGTTTTTACGCAATAGCCCAACATGTCCAACTCTCTCGATCAGCTCAAGGCTACTGGCACCGTAAGTCTGGGAAAAACCACCCCCACCATGGTTTGCCCCTCCTTCTGCGACGCAATGAGGAGCTTTCCCCGACGGCGGAAGCTCTGCCTGCGAACGCCTGCTGGGGGAGAATGAATGCGTGCTTTTCCAAATAACGGGTTGAAGCACGTCTTTCAAATCTTGCTGAAGACTTTGATCTGTCAAGGATTGACAAGGCTGACTTTTTCTTTTCTTTTCGTTTTCATTAGGTCGTCGTGTCTGATTCTGGTACGTTCCCGCACGAGCCGACACCTCCGTGGTATTTTTTGAAACGCTTAGGCTAACAGTTTTCTTGTGTAGGCGACTTTGCCTGTTCGTAACTCATTTCTCGGCCGACTGTGCTGGTTATGTGATTCTTCTTTTCCCCCTTTTCGTTCGGCAGAAGAAGGAGAAGAAAAGCATACACCGGCTGTCTCCCTTGCTCAAATTGCAAACTAACTCGTTTCGTAACAGCCATCGCCAAGTACAAGCCCCAGGATGCCACCACCAACCCTTCGCTCATCTTGGCTGCCTCCAAGAAGGCCGAGTACGCCAAGTTGATGGACGTGGCCATCGAGTACGGCAAGAAGAAGGGTGGCGACATCGACTCGCAGGTCGACCACGCCCTGGACCGCCTCCTCGTCGAGTTTGGCAAGGAGATTCTCAAGATTGTCCCCGGCAAGGTCTCTACCGAGGTGGACGCCCGCTTCTCCTTTGACACCAAGGCCTCTGTCGAAAAGGCCCTGCACATCATTGACGTATGTTTTGTCATTATTATTTTTCTTTCCTTGTCTCATCAATACTGCAAGCATGCTTACTCTCTCACCTTCCCCACCAGCTCTACAAGGAGCAGGGCATCTCCAAGGACCGTGTCCTCATCAAGGTCGCCTCCACATGGGAGGGCATCAAGGCCGCCGAGATCCTCCAGCGCGACCACGGCATCAACTGCAACCTGACGCTCATGTTCTCGCTGCCGCAGGCCATCGGCGCCGCCGAGGCCAACGCCTACCTCATCTCCCCCTTCGTCGGCCGCATCCTCGACTGGTTCAAGGCCCACAACAAGAGGGAGTATGCCAAGGAGGAGGACCCTGGCGTCGCCTCCGTCAAGAGCATCTACCAGTACTACAAGAAGTTTGGCTACAAGACCATTGTCATGGGCGCCTCGTTCCGTAACATTGGTGAGATTACTGAGCTCGCTGGCTGCGACTACCTCACCATCTCCGTACGTTTTGACCCTTCCTCTGGGCACCGGAATACCCTCTTTCGATTCGTTTCGCTTTGCTAACCCCTTCCTCGCAGCCCAACCTCCTCGAGGAGCTCATGAACAGCTCCGAGGCCGTCCCCAAGAAACTCGACGCCTCGCAGGCCGCCTCTGCCAACATCGAGCGCAAGTCGTACATCAAGGACGAGGCTCTCTTCCGATTCGACTTCAACGAGGAACAGATGGCTGTTGAGAAGCTACGCGAGGGCATCAGCAAGTTTGCCGCTGACGCCGTTACCCTCAAGAATATCCTTAAGCAGAAGCTTGAATAAGCTTTTATTTACCATGGTTGAAAGAATTTGCCGGAAAAACAAATTAATGATGATGAATACGTGCGCATGCGCGTGAGAGATGGGAAACAGATACAAATGTTGAAAAAAAAAAAAGGACGTCATGCTTTGGGAGGCGTTTTGGCTTTGTGAGATTGTCGTCTTGCAGGCAGATTGAGGAATAATATACTAAATACTGTCATTTGTTGGTGTTGCAAGTGATGTTGGCCATCATTGCTGTCGACTGTTTCGTGGGATGTGTATGTTGGCAGCCGCGATATTCGCAGTTAGGCATGCTGTGATTAGTGTTGTGGAGCACCTAGTTACTTCCTTTGTTTACATAAACCTCACGCTTGGACTGTCGTAGAACGGGTTCCAAATGATGATTTTTGATGCAATAATTTCCATCATAACGTGGTCTAACGATGCTCTAATGTAATGAAATTGGTATCAAGTAGGGTATCAAACTCCAACGTGCGGTCTCATCCTCGCCATCACCACGCAAGGGCATTAAAACCCCCTTACGTCTCTTTGCGTCTCCGGGCCGCTTTGCACGGGACTTGGATCTTTTCGTACGAAATTCCGCCATGGCCCTTGGCCTTGACAATCAAGCCCGTCAAGTGACCGCCCGCCGCACACCCCGAGTCCAGACCAACGGTGTACTTGCCCTCGATAAAGCCCCTTTTCGCGTCGTGGCCGTACATGACAGTCTGGCGGTGGCCCTTCTTGACAAATTTCCGCTGGTACTTGTTCCATGCCTTGTCCCATCTCTCGCCGGAGTGGTCGTCGATGGGTATGGCGACGACTTTTTGCGCCGGCGTGACCTCGCTGCCCTCGTCGTCGTCGTCGTCGTCATCGAGCTCGGCCTGCGCGCTAGAATGGTCGTCATGACGCCGAAGTTCTTCTTGAGAGTATCTCAGTGTGCGCATGTTCATGACCGCCCAGGGGTCCTGCTTGTCCAGCTTGACGCCTGGCACGAGGCCGCCGTGGACAAAGTACAAGCGCAGAGCCGGGGATTTGAGAATGACGGGCAGGCCCGCGAGCCAGGTGATTTGCTCTGGGAGCAGGGTCTTGGCGACCTTGAGAATCTTCCTGTTGCGCTTCCGGGAGGCGTGCGCGGTGTCGTCTTGTTCGGCGGCGGGTGCCGCCTGTGCGCTGTGCTCCCGCAGCGCCAGCAGGAGGCGGTCTTCGTGGTTGCCTCGCACGGCGCTGGCGTTCATGGACATGAGGCGCGATAACACGCCCCGCGAGTCCGGGCCCTTGTTGACCATGTCTCCCAGGGTGATGACGTGGTCGGTTGCCGCGTCGTACTTGGCCAGGTCGAGGAGGTTCCCCAGCTCCGTGTTCATGCCGTGGATGTCGCCGATGACGAGGAGACGGCGGCCGTTTTTGACCGTGGGGACATACTGCTTGGGCACGCTGGCCGTGAGCGTGAGGCCCGGGGGGTTGGGTTGGCGGTTTTTACTATTCGAGACGGCGGCCAGCCCTTCAAGTTCCCAGTACTGCGTGATGTAGAGAAACGCGACTATGAATATCGCCACATTGGCAATGGCCACGGCCACAAAGGGGACGCATCTGTGCCGGGAGACTGTCATGATTGCTGTGTTATGCGGGGGATGGTCCGTTCCAACTCTTCAGAGACTTTCAAATCGTCGGTCGAGATGGTAACGCGGCGTCACAACATGAAGTTGGCCGCGCTTGTATCCATCTGCCGCGGAGGCTGGCCAGCATAAATGTGAAGGAAAGATGGGGAGTTGAAACGCGGCAGGATTTTCCAACAAGTAGTATACTGCTCTTTGGTACGGAGTAATAAGGGAAGGAAAAATGTTTCGTTGGAAAATAGGCATCAAGGGTGAAAATCAGGCGCCAAGACAGATGTGAGCTCGTTTCACAGGCTCCGTCCACTCAAAGCCTACGAAGCAGCTCACCCAGTGCTGGTCACCCCACCCCAAGTAGAATGTCTGTCTGGGCAGGGGGCTAATCTGACGCCAGGCAAAGAGTTTATGCCAGCAGTTGATTCACTGTTGTGCTTGGGCGGTGCTGCCCAAAAAAAAAAAAAAAGGGCAAGTTTGACTGATCTGCATAATAATACCAGCCCGACATTACATTCAGGGCTGGAAGCTTATCTCGTCACGTTTAGCTTGCACATGTAACTTTTCTCTAGGGAATCTGCCAATCAGTCATTCCGAATGGAGGCGGGCACGTTGATGTGATTCGTCGAATCCAGGACCCTTTACCGTCCATTTTCTGCGGCAATACTACCCTACATTTTTAATGTTAACAACAGACGCAAAGTGCCACGCACAGTTCGCATTATTCTGTATCTGGAAACATAGACGTGCAAAAATTAGAGTTTGAAAAATTGGCGTTTTTAATACGTACCCACCCACCAAGGGTAGTATCTCGGAGGGAAAAGTGAATATTGAAAATAAAAAAAAATAAAAGAACCATCTCTTTGAAAGCATCGTGGAACGATTTTGCTCCCGGCAGGGCTTGAACCTGCGGCCTCCGCATCACTAACGCTTATTAGTACGAAGCTCTAACCAACTGAGCTACGGAAGCTTTCCCGAGATAAGTTATTGATGACCGATGGAGCACAATCCGTTGAAGAAGGTTATGCACCATGGCTTTTGTGAAAGTGAATTGATAGTTGATATCTGTGCTGTTGTATGGATGTTGTGTGTTTATTGTATGTGGGATATAATGTTGCTGGCTGAAAAAGTGGCATCTGTTGTTGGAGATGAGTTGGCCGAGAAATTTTCTCAGAGACTGGTGCAACTCCCGAGGGTAGTTTGTTCATATGACGTTTCTTTTTGTATGGCAAAGGGCTGAGAATTGGCATATAGTACATCCTAATATACATGTTCTTGTAATCTATCCATTCTGTCCCAGGCAGTGTGTGTCCAAGACTCTGCACAAGACACCATCTGTACGTCCTCGACAAAAAAAAACGCATAAACGCCCTAAACGCCATCTCCATGCAATGTGAATGCCTCCGTCTCGTCTCCCCTCTCATTTATTCTGCTGCTGCTGGAGAAGCTGCGCCTGCTCTGCCCGATACTTCTCGTTCTCAACGTCCCTCCAATCCTGAGGGATCGGCTCGTTGCCACTCGTCTCCTTGACGCCGCCCGCAAACGCCGGCTTGCCAGCGTACAACTGGTATCCCTTGCCGGTCTCCGCGCCCTCCATCGTCTTGTACGTGACGGGCATGTTTCCGCGGAATCGCTTGCGCATGTCAACCATGCCGCGCTTGCAGTCGCCGTAGCCCTTTTTGAGCTGTTGACATTTCGTGGGGAGCGTGCTGGCGAGCGGTTCGCGGAGGCAGTCGGATGCCTTGTTGCGTTGGATCATGACGCATTCTGATTCTTGGAGGCACTGCGCGAGCGCGTCGCCTGGAGGTCGTCGGTTAGTTTGCGCATTGGGTGATGCGATGCAGACGCAGGTGTGTGTTTGGCTTACGCAGCTCTTGACATGAACTCGGCATTTTGAATTTATTGTTTGGGAGAATTGTTGGGTAGCAGTTGGGACGGAAGCTCTAGAGAAGATGGTTCGAATCTCGGAGTGCAAAGCAGCTGATTGGACCCGAGGGCGGCCCGGTCCGGACAAAATCATCACTGCAACAAGACTTTAGCCGTCCACCTTGTCTCATACGGTGCATCGGGTACTCTGCATTCATAATTTTGGCCACATCGCTCATCACCACCACGAAAATCCCTCCAATGTCGTTCTGCATCATTGCCATAGTTGCTTTGGATTGATGTTGTAATCGGATAGCATAAGGGCAAGTACATTGTTGTTTGTTTGTGTACTTGCCGCCCTGACCTTGGATGTTATTGGAGTTCAATATCCTTAACGATTCGACCATGATACTAGTTTGAAGTTGCGCTGCTCACAAGCTCACCCAACGCAACTACACCACATCCTGACCGAGCAATTCAAGAAACCGAAGCGTATCCAATTACGCCCACTGTAAGCACCCAATCAACCTCTAATAAACTCTCCCTGACCCGTCAAAGCATAGAATGGGATGCGCATTCAAGGCACCAAAGCGCATATAGGGTAGCCATTTGGTGGGGTTCTTTTGTTCCAGCTGACCACTTGCAGATCGTGGCTGTCGCATGTGACATCACCATTCACTTTGCGCATTCAGGCCAATTTGAGGTCCACTTCCCCAGAAACTATTTTGCTTAAGCTTGAATATCGGATCTCCTGCACCCTTCACGCGACATGGTAGCTGTGTCATTCCTTTGTGCTTCTTTTATACTTTGTAATATTGTCTCGCAATAATGCCTGTTCCATTTCTTGGGAGGTTGCATCCGTGAGTGACCCTCCGATGGCTGCCCTCACCTCGGCGGATTCCGACATCAATTGTGCTAATCCGTGCGTCTCCTCTAGCTACGAGTATATTGCCCTTGTTGGGTCGTTCGTTTTTGTAGGCCTCGAAGCTGTAATTCGGGTGTTTACACTGGCCCTCCGTACATAAAGCCCTCCCTCCTGCAGTTGTGTTGCGACGCTTACTCATGTGTCTTAGCCTCCTTCGTGGTTTCGTTTTTCTACCTCGTTTCGCGACGTCTGTTTAATAGATTTACGACCGAAGAACATAAAAAAGCAGAGAGAAAGAAAAAGAGTAAGTCTATACAGAAGATTCGGCTCGGCGACGCAAGCTCAATCTTTCAGTAATATCCACGTCTGTCCGCGATGCGCCCGATTTTGTCGAACTTTGCCGTATCTGGGGATATGAGGCCGAGGAACATATAGTGCAAACGAAAGATGGCTACTTGCTAGGAATCCACAGATTACAATGGCGTCGGGGAGAGGAGGGACAAAAGGTCAATTGCGGACTTGGGAGCACCAAGAAGCGAGTAGTCTATCTACACCACGGGCTTCTCATGAACTCGGAAGTTTGGGTGTGTCTGACGGACGAGCGGAGATGTCTACCTTTCGAGCTGGTCGAGCGTGGATTCGATGTTTGGGTAAGCCTCCTATATCTAGATGTCACCGGTGTCTACCGTCTAACCGCATTAGCTTGGAAACAACCGTGGAAACAAGTATTCAAAGAAGTCAATCCATGCCTCGCCGACGACAGTAAAATTTTGGGACTTTTCTATGGATGAGTTTGCATTTCACGATATCCCCGATACCATATCTTACATCCTGGAAACCACGGAACAGACGAGCCTCTCGTATGTTGGTTTTTCGCAAGGCACTGCCCAGGCATTCGCCACTCTGGCCATTCATCCCTTTCTAAATCACAAAGTCAACGTGTTCATTGCTCTGGCGCCTGCCATGGCACCCGCCGGCCTGTCCAATGGTATAGTAGATGCCTTGGTCAAGGCCTCGCCCTCGGTACTCTACCTGATGTTTGGTAGGCGGTCCATCTTGAGCTCTGCCACAATGTGGGAGACGTTGTTGTACCCACCCATTTTCTGCCATCTCATTGATAGAGGGCTGGGGTTCCTGTTCAACTGGAAGACGAAGAACATCTCGGCCAGCCAGAAACTAGCAGCATACCCACATCTCTACTCCTTCACCAGCACGAAGAGTGTGGTGCACTGGTTTCAGGTAATCCGCAACAAATGTTTCCAGATGTACGACGACGACGTCCACCAGCCGATGAATGTCGCCACGTCGAGAAAGTACTCAAAGGTAGCCAAATATCCGACTCGGAATATTCGCACGCCTGTTGTGCTGGTCTACGGAGGCAGTGATTCTCTTGTGGACATCAAGACGATGCTGCGAGAACTCCCTCCGCAGACCGTCGCCACCGAGATTCCACACTACGAGCATCTAGACTTCTTGTGGGCCAGAGACGTCGATTCTCAGGTTTTCCAGCACGTATTTGACGCTTTAGACAGCTTTACGGACGCGCAACACACGGCAGAGGAATACGATCGGTACTACATGGTGAGAAATGAAAGCCTGATGGGGTCAGCGTTTCCTTTCTTGCATCGGGGAAGCGAAAGCGAAGCATCGACAACGGCTGCCGGAAGCGAGGGGCCGAGTGGACAACCGCCTCAGCATGTCGCCCGAGAGGCCTCAGAGTTGACTGAGACTGCGTCAAGGAACCGTATTGTTGGCGGCGCTGATCGTGTTTGCGAAGTGACTGACAAGCTAAAGGGGGTAGGTGTCAAGAGAGGGGGGACCAAGGGCGCCAATCCTTGGCAAGACATCGGACCGCTGGACAAGACAAAATGAGTCATATCCAATCAAGTACACGTGGGATCAAGAGAAGGGCAGCAGAGGAAAGTAAATACACTCTGATGGTGTCTACATGGATGTAAATAGCAAGACTGCAAGTACATACATGGCATGGTTTTAAACTGTGGATCTAAAATCGGCGTATTCCTACAATGGGTGGTGTAGCTTACGTTGCGTAATACGACGTGATTACTGTGGCTGAGCTCCACGCCATTGATTACGGGGGTGGGAGACACGGAAAAAAATATGACTAGACAATCTTGCAACAATTTTTATGTACAATAAAGCAATATCAGACCATTCTCGGCGAAGGTGTGTTTCCGTTGGGCCCACGGCCGAACGGTGAGGTGGGTCACCGGCCGGAGCTGACAACTATCCCGGCCGGTGCTCGCCGTGAATAAAGCCTGGGATTAACACGAATAAAAACGGAGACAGGGTGGTGCCGTAGTTGAAGGAAACTGCAGTCGTCTTGATACAAGGCGACCGTCACGCTACCACGACTTGACAAAACTGATCATTATAGAGGGTTAGGGTTAGGATTGATGGATTGTGGAGCAGCTAGAAGCTGAAATGCTGTGCCTTGTATCTGAAATGTATAGCCTCTGACTCCTGTTCCTTGCTCCTGGTGACTTATTACTTGCCATCATAAGTGTGTGTCTGGAGCCAACGCGGGGAGGAGCCACATGTCCTGTAGGCAATATACCATCTCGTCTTATTCCAATCCGCTACTCCCCTAGGCTCAGTATAAAGGAGCCGCTTATTCGACAGGGCAGAAGACGGGATTAAGAGACGATAGTGAGCCCCTATTTCGACCAGCTCTACGGTCTACGACTACCCAGTCTTATTAACCCTCCTCACCTTCACTGTCCGTGAGAAATCCAGCACCGCGGCCGCTGTCGTCTTGCAGTTCAGAAGAAAGACGCCGCTCCTGCATCTCCTCGCACCTCTCAAAGTCAACCATCCGTGTGCAGCCCTCACCGACGATGAAGTTGCACCGGTTGGTGTCCCCGCGGAGCAGTCCCCGCCGATGGAGGCGGCCGAGAACCTCCTCGCAGCGGGGGGGATGCTCGATGCCGGACTCTTTCCAGCGGCAGGCAGTCGACCTGTTTGGGGCGTCGTGTCTCCTTCACCCCTTGCACTGGGCGGCGCCTCGGCTAGTAACTTCCAGGTTCATAGCCCATTGTTACAATGGAGAATCTTTGCATTCGCAAATTCAAGTCTCTTGCGCCACCTTGATGCAAACTGAAGTCGAACTTGTACGCGTAACGGCAGCCCGGGCCACTGTGAGACGTAAACGAAGCCAGCAATCGCTCTTATCCCCTACCTGACCCCCCTCGCCTCGTCCGTCCCGGCTCTTCAACCACAGCTGTGCCTCCCTCGCTGGAAAGCCAAAGCTCCTTTGCCTCTTGGCAGTCCCAAAAGTGGTGAATACAGGCGTTCTCGACGCGAGAAGTTCTCTTCACACATGTCGGCCTCCAGGGCAATCTGACGGCCCTTGCAGGACCTCCCCAGCTGCGACTCGCCAGTGGATGGGCTCGCGTATGGCAACCGTGTTGACGCCATACACCTCAAAACCTGGGAGTCAGGTAGCCCACCCAGGGTGGTTCGCGGATCTTCATTTTCGTCTCTTGGAAGCACCTCGAGGGTGTGATATGCAGATGCGAGATAAGTACGCCTGCTTCTCCGCGTCATTGCCGACGAATACGTTCCGGGGACGGAGCGCAACACCGGAATAGACTTCTCGAGCTGCGCAGCTGGCATACCAGACGCCTTGCACAGTGAATGCAGAGACACGGTTCGGAGAGCCGGAGCCGACTCGATGCAATAGAAGCAACAGCGTTCCGAGGTGGGGAGGAAAACAAAGCCGCCAAACGAGCCGCAAATTACACAGCGCTCGGTCGAAAGAGTTGAGAGCAGGGTGGATGTGCTGATGCGAGGCGCAAGGCCTGTGCGAAACAGTGCCCATATGCACCCGAGGGCGTGCTCGCGGAGTCGACGATATTGAGGAATGCTGGCAATGGTCTGCCGAGCGCTTCGATTTGCCTGGCTGAAGTTGAAGGCAGACTGGACGTCGAGCAAAAGGCAGACGGATGAAAGGAGCTCCAAGGGGAGACGTTGAAGGCGGCCGAGGCCCGCGCTGCCTGATGCACCCAGGTTGTTAAAAAAGGTCAAACGGGCATGGTCATGTTGCCCGGGATCTGCTGCAACGACGACACAATCAAAGTCTCTTCTATGGATTGTGTGACACGTATAATGTCGTCGGAGCCGAGGTTCACGGCGGATACTTGCTGGAGACTTGGCGACATGGGCTGCTGCTCTTGGCCCTCCGAGGAAGGATAGGGTCGAAGGCGTCTGGCTACGGAGTGTAGATGCTGACTTTTGGACTGCTGAAGCTGCGCGATTCCTGTGTTGGCGGCTGGACTGAAGTTGGTGAGTTGAAAGTTGACATGCAGTAGTTGCCCCCGCATGTAGAGTCAACAGGTTACCTTGACCAACACAACCAACACGAAATTTTGAGAGAGCAGAAGACCCGACCATTGCTCGTCTACCCGAGCTGACCATTCTCAGTTCCTAGCTCTTCTCAAATAGTGACCTGTTTTCCTGGGACTATTGTCCAGTTGCGGTGCGTTTTGCGGTCGGCCATGTACATTCTACCGACTATTGGATTCCAAGAAACTACCTAGGTACTTCATCCCCATCAGAACTACCTAGGTAGTCATTAATGGGGGAAACTTGTGGAGTGATGTATATATAGCGTTTAGCGGAATTAGCAATTTAGAAGCAAATGTTGACCAGTAGAGAAGCTACTAGGCAAGCGCATCTGTAAGCAACGGCGTCGTAGCACTATGAGTACTTGGCCAAGTTTCCAGGGTCGTTATTGTTCGTCTAAAAACGACACACTAACCGCAAAGAACTAGACTAGCCAGTTCCCAGTACCGAGCGGTTTCCGTGATGGAGGTGGCACCGGAGTATGGTTTGTTGTGAGGGAGACGTTGCTGGTCTACACAGGGATAATCATTGAGTTTCCGGAACAGTGCTCAAGCCTTCGGTCCCTAAATGTCAGCCCTGGGCAATGGCAGGTCGATTGATTTGGAAGCTTGGGACTCGGTTAGGCCATGTTGGGCATCTATACCAACGACTTTCCGACAAATGTGGATGTCATTGGGCATGATGCAATACCACATATAGGGTCCAGCACGTGTTTTGTATTAAAAAGCTTTTCAAATGGCATCTCTAGATTGTGGAATGTTAGCACGGCCAGAGTATCCAAGTACTGCTATCATAGGCAAACCAATTCAAGCCCTCACGGCCTGTCAAATTATCTACTCCGTAACATGGGATACATATCAGAACTCTTGAACCCTGTCCAGCCCGCAACCCTGCTGCCTGATAGTCGACCCGCGTGTGTTTGAAACCAGGATCACGCTGACAGTTTCCAACGCGGCCCTGTCGCACACGCGGTCACGTATCTCCTCTTCAGCCGCAAACACCGAGTGGGAACTCGGCGTCACAGATGTGTTCCTGGATTGGATGGGTATGGCTCCCGGCTTACGGCTTGGACTAGGCCCCAACCTTGTTTAAATGGAGGTTTCGCAAAAAGAACTCGCGACATGCCTGTGTGCTTTGCTCCCGTGGCTTTCTCACCGGGGCATTTGCGAGCCGTGGGATGGGATGACATCGGCCGCATGTACGTCAGACGTGATCGAGTCCAAGACTGCTGCGTACTGACATGTCATTGCACGGTCCGGGCTCGCCAAAACCCAGAAACTGTTCAACCCGGCAAGCGGCGATCCACTACATCCCATCCTGCACCCGAGACACCCGGTGAACACAAACGTCACGAACCAGCCTTGACCAAAACCCACAATGAGGAATGGTTAGTGAAGTTTCAGTGGCCGGACTCTGCTGTTGTTGGCCCCGAGCGTCTGTTTCTCCCTGCTGACGGGCATAGCCTCACTCGTTGTCACAGTGGAGCCGCGGTTGACACCTTTTTGGGACCCAATACTTGTGATGAAATACCTGGTGTCGGATGTCGTCAGCCCTGGTGTAGCTTATCTATAAGCTTGGCCCTGTTTATAAGGGGTGGTGGTGTTGTTCTCACCGTCCACGCTCTTTGGAGCTCCAGCTCGGGTTTTGGTGTTGATCTAGTCACCATTCCTTTTTTCCATCATCAGCATTTTCCAAAACCGACTCGGAGATTCCAAGTGACAACTTTGGAAAACAAAAACACCCACGAGCAACAGCAGCACAACATGTCCGGCCGCAGCGACCTCGAAAAGGCCCAAATCTTCTGCCGGGACAATCCTAAGAGCCCGCTCTGCAATGACGTGCCCGGCTTCTACGAGTACCGGGTCGACCTTGGGCCGAACGCCGCGTTCCTGGGCATATTCGGGGCGTCGCTCGCGGCCTTCACGCTCATCCTGGTGGTCACGCGGCGCGGCGTGGCCTTCAACGTGGCGCTGATGCTCGGCCTCGTCTGCGAGGTGCTGGGGTACCTGGGCCGGGTCCTCAGCTGGCACAACCCGTGGGACGAGAACGGCTTCATGATCCAGATATGCTGCCTCACGATCGGGCCGGCCTTTATGGCGGCCGGCTGCTACCTGTGCCTGAGGAGGATCGTGAGCGCCTTTGGGCCCGAGAACTCGAGGCTGCCGCCCGAGTACTACACGCGCATCGTGAGTTGGAAAGGAAGGGGGGAGGGGGGGTCTCATTTCCATTCTGCTGACACGGCGTAAACTCTTTCACAGTTCATCCCCTGCGACGTCGTCTCGCTCGTGCTGCAAGCCGTGGGCGGCGCCATGGCCGCGACGGCCGCGCACAACCACGACTCTGCCGACCTCGGGTCCGACATCATGATTGCCGGGCTGGCCTTCCAGGTGGCGACGATGCTGGGCTTCATCACGGCCGCGTCCGACTTTGCCGTCGGCACGTACCGCCGCTACCGGGCGCAGGGCGCGTCTGCGCTGTGCCGGGACGCCGCGCTCGTGCGGATGCGGCGCACGCTGCGGTTCAAGCTCTTCCTCGGCGCGCTGTCGCTTGCCTCGCTGCTCATCCTGTGGCGGAGCGCCTTTCGCGTCGCCGAGCTGAGCGAGGGCTGGACGGGGCCCGTCATGGCCGACCAGGGCATGTTTGTCGGCTTCGAGGGCGTCCTCATTGTCGCTGCCGTGCTGGCCTTGAACCTGTTCCACCCTGGCATCTGCGCCAAGGAGCTGTTTGACGTCGGCGGCGGCCTCAAGGGGTGCTGGTGCATGCGCAGGAAGAAGGGGGCTGCGGCAAAGGACGCGAGGAGTCTGAGTGATGGCGAGACCAAGCCTGTGTATGCCTCTGCGTAGATGTTGTCGGCTTAAGTACGATGGATGCTTTGTGGACGTGGGGTTTACTTTTTTTTGTTTTCTTCCTTCTTCCTCTCGAATGGCAGGCATGGCGTTTTGATAGACTACATAACTTACAAGTCGCGCATATAGACTCGCAGTATAGACGCGCAACCAACTAGAACAGAGAGACGGGGACTTGCTGCGTCAAAGTTCACGCTATTACCGAGTGTTGAACACCCATGTCTACACAGATCCCGAGGGTTACATGGAGGCTTCGGGCGTGCGGTCTTTGGGCCATGTCTACCAGGAGAGCTGGTTGTGCACTTTATTTACAGAATACGAGCCGCATGTGAGCCTTCGTGTTTCTTCGTTTATTTGCCAGCCCGAGAAACAAAACGTGGCCAACAATCGCAGCTAAATAATAGGTACATTTGGGCTCATCTACCAGCACACCACTTGTAGACTCGAGCAAGCACAAGGCCAAGTCACTGCTTGGCGATTTCCTGCCGTTGCCCGTCAAGCCTTTGCATCACGCATAGTGAAAAAAAGCCATTGTGGCCCGAACAACTCGGATAACCAACCCGTCCTTGATACGACATCTAGACTGTCTCACAGCTTCACGAGCGCACTGATATTTTGGCCTGCATGCCAAGCTAACTCTGATCATGTAGAAATATCCCCCTCCTAGACGTCGCCGATGTGCTAGCCGCCTGATACTCGGCGCTTGACTTGCACGACCAAAGCCGTTGCACCCTCGGCAAAAATATCCACAAGATGAGAAGAACAAGCCATTATTTCCTAGCACCGACGCCGAGTGCCAGATCTCTCGGTCTTGCAAAAGACCGATTGTGGCGGAGCTATGCTCTCGTGGCTCCGTCAAGAAATATATCCCATCACGAGAAATCCAGCCCGTCCTCAGTGTCACGTCACATACAACACCCACCAGTATTACGAGAAGCTGACGCGCGCATTGATTCCGCGACAAGCCGCAAACACGTAAACGCACGAGTTGGGCGTAGCATGTAGATGCCAAGTATAAGTAAAACGGTCACATCACGCCCTTGCCCGACGAACCCGCGCATCTACAGGAACCAACAGCGTACTTTAACAATCTCTGTCCTGAAAACGTTTTGCGTTCCGCAAAAGGCCCCTCGTTACACCCACGCTCGCTCATCGGCCCCAACTACTCTGCCCAGGATGCGCACCGCCAGCACCGTGTATGCCGTCCTGACTGCTGCCGCCGTCGCCGTCGCCCAGGCCGCAGATGCTTCCGACACGGAGGGCGTCCCGGCGGGAGCCGTCCTCTCGACAGACGGCATCTTGACCGGCGTCGCGCGCTCTACCGAGAGTGTCCTGACCGGAGTCACCCGCGAGACCTCCGAGACCATCTTGACGGGCGCCACGCGCGAAACCTCTGTCCCAGCTTCCACCGAGGGCATCCCGACCGGCGCCACCCGAGAGACGTCCGTCCCGGCTTCGACGGGAAGCATCCTGACGGGCGTCACCCTCGAGACCTCCATTCCCGCCAACACCAGCGCCGTCGGCCCTACCGGCACACAGACGGGCGCCCCTGTCGCTGGCGCTGCCTCAAGCTCGCGAAACCCCTGGCTGGTTCTTGGCACTGCTATTCTCGTGGCTGCGCTGGCTCTCTAGGCTGTGCATCCCTCTTTATGCGGGTAATGGTTCCTTTTACGTACACGCACCGTCTGACACGGCGCTTTGTTCCGGACATTGCTGTATACACTTTGGAATATATGAGTGGTGTTTTGAAATCTAATAGTTTATCGGTGCGTGAGGCGTGAATGCGTAGGTTCATCTTACATGTAGGTAGAAAAGGCGGACTAAGAACGTGACGGCTTGCCGCAAAAGACGGCACCATGGAATAATGGGGGCAAGATGAGGACTGAAATGCGTCAAAGACGAAGAGCTTGTCTTTATGCGACGCGCTGTATGGAGTTTGCGTTTCTCGAGGCTAGAGTCGCACAGGAACCCAACATCGCATCTTGTTTTTGCCTCCCTTGTGAAAGGCTTGCTCACGGCCGTCGTAGAGTCCCGATACGAGCTTCACAAGCCCCTATTTTGGGCTCGGTTGATTCGGTTCCTATACGCAGACACGGCAACGGGGCCTTGAGGCAGTCTGGTGGTAGGGAATCCCGTATTGAGGGCTGATTCAAACCCATTTCTGTGTCCCTGCAGTGCTCCTGCTTGAGGGGTCGCATGTTGCGGAAAAGGAGGTCTACTCGGTGTATAACTCCATGAGAGGACGCTGTGCTATGTTTCATCTTGCGCTTTTTAACCTGTGCTTTTGAAGATTTGCTATCAAGTTGCACATGGTTGCTTGATGCAAAGTGATACAAAAGGATTCTCACCTCGACTTCAACATGAAAGGAATCTCAAAAATTCACCAATAATGCAATCATGTAGATCGATACTCTGTTTTCCAAGAGGGAGTGCTTCGATGATCGGGCGAGCTGTACCTTTATCGAGTGGATTTGATTCATCACCAAGGAAGGCTCAAGTAGTCCCAAGGACAGTGAGATGGTGGAACAATTGGAAATTCAAGTTTATTCGCGTTTACTGCTGACTCTTCCCGAAAGCCGCACAATTCTACGTATGCAGGAATCGGGCCCCCAACTATAGCAAATACCAGCCGCCCAACAGGGCGCGCATTCAAACAATCTCCCCCAAGTTTTTTTCGCCTAGGCAGATTTCGCCAACATGAGACCCGTTTAAGCTTACTGGGAAAAATACGTGGTTCAACCATATCTTTGTGTGAATGCAGACAGTGCAAAGGTATGAGAGGGTATCGCGAAACTATTACGTCCCAGCACAACGCCAAGTAGTATGCATCATGCGGGTTTTTTTGTGAAATAAAGCATTATAATGGCTTCATTATCATAAGCCACAGTAAATGTTAATGCGCTCGTTTGCGCCGACCAAATGCCCGCTGGAAGGATGATAGTTGGGGTGCGATCATGGGCAAATGCCCGGGTATGCTTACAGAATGTAACATGGAGGGATATATAAATGTGCATTGCGTCATCGGTTCAATGGTTCGGTCCGGCCTGGCTACAGGCTGATGCTACCCAACGGTAGAATCTTGGTCTTATCTCCAATGAATTTGGCCCGGAATTCGATGATACCTTGGCTAATCGTGTTGAAATCTTTGACTTTACGGGTTCGGAACTCGGTAAGGAGCTGTCTTAGACCAGCAATGTACTTCTGCTTCTGCTCCTCGTCGTAATGGTCAGCTGCTCCTAGCTGAAGCAGGATCTGGTCATCTGTCCAGTTTGGGCTGTCAGTGCCCAACTCGAGCCATGCCGCTGCTTTGCACCTTCTATTAGCCGGCCGGGGAAATCCACTCACCGGGAGCTTGCATCGTCTCAAAGTGTTGAAACTCGCATTGGCTTCCCCTGGGACATTGCTGTCCAGCCAACTCATCGGGGCAAAGTTCCTTCTTGACATCAATTTTGTTACTGTAGGTCATCGACCGCAACCCACCGGCCACATCTTGATTGAACGAGGGGTGGAATCGATAAGCACGGAAGTACTGCAGTGGTGTTTCGTACGGAACGAAGCTAGTCTTTGGAGCGACAAGCTTGCCATGTTCATTTGTCGAATCTGGCTCTGGCAACGCAGGGCCGCTTGGGAACGCAGCGGCGGCACCTGATGTCACTGGGCTACCTTCCACAACTTCCTCAGTCTGGGATAGCACAGTACTGTCTTGCTCCGACTGGTCGTTGTGGCTTGCCACTGCAGACAAATTCGCCTCTGGAGGCTCATAATCTTCGTCAGAATTCTCTTCGACGTCTTCGTCTGCTGAGTAGCCCGCATCTTCCATATCAACATCCTCAGGGATATCAGAATGCAAAGAGGAGGCTTGAGAATCGTTCGGGACCAGCTCATCGCTTGCTGGGAACGCCTCGGGATTCACTTTGTTTGATTCGGGCAGAATTGTTGTGCTCACAATGCCGCCATTGCCAAAGTTTGATGTAGCAACGCCAGCGCTGGACTCACCCGCGGCAGGCAACTCATGGGATGGAAAAGGAGCTTCGTCATCAACATCTGGTACATCATCAGCGTGTTCCAGGGCTTGATCTTGCTCAATTGATCTGGCCGTTGGTTGTTCGCTTTGATCTGTTGGATTTGAGAAGGCCGACTCCTGCAAGGATTCAAGTGTTTTTTCTTGTTCTTTGTCATTATAGTTAGTCCTATTTGTCACGAGGCATGTTGGGCGTATTAACGTACCGGAACTAGATAGATCAACAGGAGCGAAGATGTCCATCTCTTTATCCGAGTCTGAGCTTAGAATTTCTCCCTTTAGCCTCTCTTCTTCAAGCATATCCTCTTCTAACTCTTGTTCGATCCTGGCGATTTCGGAATGAAGAGCTTTTAGCTTCAGTCGTTGTTTTCTGCGTCGAGCTTCAATCAACGGCAAGCGTTCGCTGGCGGCACGAGAGCGCGAGCGCTGTTCTAAACTTGTCCCCAGAGCTTTCCTTGCCTCATGACCCAGCTCGCCGTAGAGCCGTGGAGGTGCTACCGGTCGACTGGCTGTGTCGGATCCATCCTCAAAAGAACTGTCATTCAGCTGACAGAGTACCGGAGAGCCTTGCCGTGAACTCTTGGCCTTCTTACGAGCCTCGGCCTCGGCAATCTTTCTCTTCATCTCTTCTATTTGCTTATTCATGCTTTCCAAGTCGCTGCCATTATTTCTGCTGGCGCTCCTCAGTGGCGTTGAGGCCGATGCAGGGCTTCTCACTTGTCGTGGTATGGAGGAGTCAGGTATGGCTTGTACGTCTTGCAGTATAGCATCCTGTTGGTGTGCAGGGTTGGGCATACCCGAAGGAGTCTCTGGCCGACTTGGCGAATCGAGTTCCATTTCCTCATCACCGTCCTCATCCTCTTCCCCTTCACTGACATTGATCAAAAATGGTCGGGATTCCGTGTTCTGATCAAATGCTGGGGCTGGTCGCAGCTGGCTCAGATCGGCGGCCTGGAAGGTCGCGGTGGGTTGCTGCATAGCCTGAGGTGGCTCCGTGGCTTGCTTACTTGGTGGCCACGACAGCCCTGGAATAGCACTTGCTGAAGCATCATTTCGCGGAGCGTTAGATCCGTCATGGCTCGTAGTCTTAAAGGATGCTTCAGGTGTCGAATCGTTCTTACTGAAACCATTCTTGTCCTCTACCGGAGTGGGCTTTTCTGACTTGAGGGCTTCTCGTGCCCTTTTGAGAGCTTCCATTTTCTGCTGTAGCAACTTGGACTTTTCTGACTGTGTCAGTGTTGGCTTGACGCCTGTAGCCGCCGCCTTGGCGCTTTTTGGAGCAACTGCGTCGTCTGCCGGTAATGACGCAGGTGTAGAGCTTTGTTTTGAGCCTTTTGCAGCGAGTAGACGGGCGATTCGATCCTTCCGTGATTCAGACGCGTTAACGACGGCAGGCTTGGATTTTGGAGGCACGAGATTCGTAGTTTCGACGGCCAGCGCTTTTGAAATACTCGTCCCATTTGAAGTTGCAGGCTCATTCCCTTCTGGCCCCGACGTCATCCTGGTAGCCTCGGTGAAGTTGAGACCTAAGTCCTTGAAGAGCGATTTGAGAAGCGCTTCGTCAACACCTTCGGAAACGTAGTTGTGGAATCTTATATTTAGTGGCCATAATCGAAGAATGGCATCCTTTGCCTGCTTCTTAGACGCTTCCAAATCCGAACGATTCATGGATTTGGTTTGACTGGGCCTGGGAGGCAGAACATCGCGCACATCGATAGGCGCTGACGGTGCTGCCTCGCTCGCGGTAGGTTTATCGCCTGTCGCATTAGTTAAGAGAGGATACAACGTAGCTTGCACTGCGCAATACAATAAGTACCTGTGTAATGGTCCGATAGGCTGTCACCAGGTTGTGAGATTTCATGAGGCGATAGATACGGCGAATACGATCCTGACCGTTCGCGGCCGTCGATTGGTTGATAACCGGCCTGTCTTTGCTTGTGCGTTTGACTTGTACCAACCGCATCTTGTTCACTTTCCATCGGTTCGTAGACATCCTCGAGCTCACCATCCTCGCTGACCTCGCCATCTTCTAAAGGCCTTGCTGATGTCCCGTTTAGTCCCGGTATACTCGTCACGGGTTGGCTTTTCGGCAGGCCTTGCGTATTTTTTCCCGAACTTCGGTGAGATAGCGATTCTACCTGCCAGCTTGGTAGTTGTCCATGTGACCAAGAGCCATGCTGTGTTGAACTGGCAGTGTGCGTTCCTAACCCCAAGCCAGGGATCAAGTTGTGCCCATAACTAGGGCCAGATGCGCTCTCTGGTATAGATGGCTGACCTTGTGAGGCACCAATGAAACTGTTCAGTGCAGGAGTATAGGCGGGCTGAGAGGTGTGCGGAAAACCTTGATGGAGGTTATAACCACCAGGGGAAACGTACCCGTATTCAGGCTGGCTCATCTTCTGGTAGACCTGTACATACCACTGTGCTGTGAGACTCTTCTGACACGCTTAAGGGCTTTGAACGAACTCTGACGAGGATCACAGCTGTCTATGCAAAGGTTGACTGGGCAAATGCGTCTCCGAGTCTTAGTAGCACTGGAACGATGTTGCGACCCGCGATGTACCGACGTTTGTCGCGTCAAAGGTTGCGAAATATGTCTTGATGAAAGGCGCAACCAAAGAGCCCCGTCAAAGATTCCGAGCGCACTTTTCGCAGTCTTTTTGCGCTGGCGCAAACTCACTCTTTGTTGTTGGACGCGACGACTTTGGGTTGCCGGTAATTTTGGGGTTTTGAGCTTTGCGGTCAGGTCTAAGCGCTGGGAAAGAAGCGCTAGTCTCGAGTTAGGTCTGGCTCCACAAGACACGCTAGCCGAGAAAGAAGAAAGTCACGTGCGTCGGCTTGTTTACTTGGGAGGGGTTTCGCCCCAGCAACGGCAATTGTATATCATTGCCAGCTCTACACTAGCAAGCTGGAAAATGATGAGTCTATTCACGCCATTCTAATTCCGTCTCTACTTGTTCACGGCGCCGTAGTGCTTTTAGTTGTTCTTTCTGCCCTGCGATCCACGTTTTCTGCGGTGGACCTGTATTATCTACTCACTCTTTTTTTCTCTTGCGGCCAAGTTTGTTTACGCGCATATGATTGTGTAGTTGGGGCGGAGTCTTGATGCACATCAACAAAGCCGGCGTTGATGTTTCTCGTCGACAATGGCTTTCAACCTGAATAATTCGGCACAACGCCGCAGCAATCCGTTTACTCGAACGGCATCTCCCTCTCCATCATCACCAGCCCCCCTCAACGGTAGCAGACCAAAATCTGCCCTGTTTTCCTCACCACCACTGCCGAGTGTGTCAACACCGTCGTCTCATGGCCGGTCGCAGTCCAACAGCTCATATGGAACGTCGTCGGTCGCGACAGGAAACGCAATCAGACACCATAGAAACGAGTCGAGAAATGGAACGCCCACTTCAAATACGTTTGCACCTTCGTTCATCAAGCTGGGGGAGATGAGACGAGAACATGACACGGTAAAGGGCATCGAAGGGGAGAATGACTTCTCTGGTAAACGTTATGTGTGGGTTAGAGATCCACAACATGCATTTATAAAGGGATGGGTTGTCGAAGAAATAGGCAATAGCCGCATCCTGGTGCAAACAGATGATGGAACTGTCAGTTTATAAATCTATGCATCGGTGAAGAAGTAGCTGACTGAATGACAGCAACGGGAACTTGACCCCGAAAGTGTCGACAAAGTTAACCCTGCCAAGTTCGATAAGGCAAACGATATGGCCGAGTTGACCCATTTGAACGAGGCTTCAGTCGTCCATAACCTTAAAATGAGGTACCAATCGGATTTGATTTATACATACTCCGGACTCTTCCTCGTTACGGTCAATCCTTATTGCCCATTACCTATTTATACCAATGAGTACATCAACATGTACAAAGGCAGAAGTCGGGAAGATACCAAGCCGCATATTTTCGCCATGGCTGACGAAGCCTTCAGAAATTTGGTGGAAGAAGGCCGAAATCAGAGTATCCTAGTAACAGGTGAATCTGGCGCTGGCAAAACGGAAAATACCAAGAAGGTCATCCAGTATCTTGCGGCCGTGGCCGCATCCGAGACTTCTGCCCGAAGCAAATCGCAACACACCAATCTCTCGCAACAAATTCTCCGAGCAAATCCTATTCTAGAGGCATTTGGAAACGCGCAAACTGTTCGAAATAACAACTCTTCGAGATTCGGAAAGTTCATCCGCATTGAGTTCAACAGAAACGGAGCTATTGCCGGGGCATTTATTGATTGGTATCTCCTTGAAAAATCACGAGTTGTACATATCAACCCTCATGAGCGGAACTACCACATCTTTTACCAGCTTCTAAAGGGCGCTAGCAATCGCGTCAAGAGCACTTTGCTTCTGAGCGGACTGGATACACAGAATTTTGCGTATACAAGAAACGGACACGATACGATTGTCGGCGTGTCTGATGAAGCAGAATGGGACTCTTTGATGGAAGCGTTCGATGTCATGGGTTTCTCTGACGATGAACAACTATCGATTCTTCGTACGGTTGCAGCGGTGCTGCATTTGGGCAACATTGAGGTCGTCAAGGAAAGCCGCGCGGCTGATCAGGCACGATTGGCGCCTGAGTCGAAACAAGTGGTGACAACTGTGTGCAAGCTTCTCGGTGTGCCAGTAGATCCTTTTATTCAAGGACTGCTGCATCCGAAGGTCAAAGCCGGACGGGAATGGGTCGAGAAGGTCCAAACCCCGGAACAAGTGCGACTTAGTCTAGATGCCTTGTCCAAGGGTATTTATGAACGAGGATTTGGTGATCTCGTTTCTCGAATCAACCGCCAGCTCGACAGAACAGGCATGGGACTTGACGATTCGCACTTTATCGGTGTCCTCGATATTGCTGGATTCGAAATCTTCGAGGAGAATAGCTTCGAACAGCTGTGCATTAACTACACCAACGAGAAACTTCAGCAGTTCTTCAATCATCATATGTTTGTCCTTGAACAAGAGGAATACGCGCGCGAACAGATTGAATGGCAGTTTATTGACTTTGGCCGAGACTTGCAGCCAACAATTGACCTTATTGAGCTGCCAAATCCAATTGGTATCTTTTCCTGTCTGGACGAGGATTGCGTTATGCCAAAGGCTACGGATAAGACATTCACAGAGAAGCTGCATTCACTTTGGGATAAGAAGTCCACCAAGTATAGACCCTCTCGCCTTGGACACGGCTTCATCCTCACACATTACGCTGCCGAAGTGGAATATTCCACCGAAGGCTGGCTGGAGAAGAACAAAGACCCATTGAACGATAATATCACACGTCTGCTTGCCTCTTCGTCCGACAAACACATTGCTGGCCTATTTTCCGACTGTGCTGCAACAGATGAGGAAGTTGGTGGCGGCCGAAGCCGAGTAAAGAAGGGACTCTTCCGCACTGTTGCCCAGAGACACAAGGAGCAGCTTCACAGTCTAATGGCTCAACTTCATTCAACACATCCTCACTTTGTGCGATGTATTCTGCCCAACCACAAGAAGCGGCCAAAACAGTTTAATAATCTTCTCGTTCTCGATCAGCTACGCTGTAACGGTGTTTTGGAAGGTATCCGAATTGCTCGAACAGGGTTTCCCAACAGACTTCCTTTCACGGAGTTTCGCCAGCGATACGAAGTGCTCTGCTCAAATATGCCTACAGGCTACCTTGAAGGTCAAGCTGCTGCGACATTCATGCTGGAGAAGCTTGGCCTCGACAAAACACTATATCGTGTAGGTCTTACAAAGGTGTTCTTCCGGGCGGGCGTTCTAGCAGAATTGGAAGAACAGCGCGATGCCCTAATTACGGAGATCATGGCCAGGTTTCAGTCCGTTGCCAGAGGCTTCATCCAAAGACGTGTCGCATACAAGAGGCTTTTTCGAACTGAAGCCACAAGAATTATTCAGAGAAACTTCAACATATACCTGCGCCTAGTTGAAAACCCGTGGTGGCAACTCATTGTGAAGATGAAGCCCTTGCTAGGAGCTACTCGTACTGCAACCGAAGTTAAGAAGCGCGATGCCATGATCAAGCAACTCAACGAAAAGATGCGACTTGACGAAAAGGTGCGACAGAAATTGGAAGATGACCGTCGCAATACACACACGGAGATGGTTCGAATCCAGCAGACACTGGAGAGCGAGCGTGCACTTGCATTGGACAAGGAGGAGATCTTTAAACGACTGCAGACTCGGGAGGCCGAGCTTGAGGAGAAGCTTTCTGGTGCCCTCGATGACCAAGAGAGACTCGAGGACCAACTTGATGAACTCATGGAAGCCAAAAGTCGAGCAGAGCAGGACGTCGAAAAATTCCGGCACCAACTCGAACAAGCTGCAGGGCTAATTGCTAAGCTGGAGGACGAGAAGAGCAAGTTGTCAGCAAAGTCTGTAGAATTAGAGAACGCGGTCAAGGAAATCTCCCGGAAGCAGTCTGAGCGCAGCGAGCAAGAAGCCGCCCTTGCCGATGAGATCAAGGTCCTTCAAAGCCAATTAAATGTCAAAGATCGCAAGGTGCAAGATTTGGAAAGCAAGCTGCTTCAGCTGGACCAAAACACGGAAGTAAAGCTGCGTGCTGCTCAAAAGGAGGCGGAGGCAGCCAAATTGCGAGAATCCCGTCTTAGCCAAGAGAACAAGGATGTAAAGCATCAGCTCTCCCAACTTTCCAAGACTTCAACTGATTATGAAGATTTGGTAAGAAGCAAGGAGAGCGAGCTGGCTCTGCTCCGCAGCGACAAGAGGAAGTTTGAGACTGAGCGACGTACTCTGGAAGACCAGAAGAAAGCACTGACGGAGGAAAGGAACAGAATCTCGAGCAGGTCTCACGATGTTCAAGCCGAGTTGGATGCAATGAAGTCCAAGCACTCCCAACTCGAACGTGAGGCCGCGGAGGCCAAAACGCTACTTGCTGCCAGGCTCTCGGAAGATGCTCAAGCGGATGAAAACAGGTCACTCCTAGAGGCTCAAATCAAGGATCTCAAAGAACAACTCTATACTACTCAAATGGACCTAAGCCGAGAACGACAATCGCGCGATGATGTTCTGCTTCTTGGAGAACACAAGTACCAAAGCCTCAAGGAGGAGTATGACAGTTTGAATGAAGCAAAGATTGTCATTGAAAAGGAACTCTATGTTCAGCAGGATACTTTGCGAAGAGCCATGGAAGCACGCACCGCAGTTGAGAAAG